GGAGAGAAAGAGAGAATAATAAAGGAAATAAGGATTTATATTATTGAATTATACAAATAATGATACATACTAGGACTATTTATATAAAATCCTAATTGGACTTGGGTCTACACAACTTGAATTATATTTAAATGTTAAATATAATCTAATCTAATATTTTAACAAATTTAATGTAATATTTCAACAAGGACTTCCTCCTCAGTGAATATAAGTCATCATGCTTAGATTCTGAGAATAAGGTAGGGATGTGAAATCTTACGGTACCACCTCATGTGTTCTTGTACAGTTTCCCAACCATGGAGGATATAGACGCCTCAGTTTTCATGAGACAAAATATATCCAAGTACTCAATATTGTTGAGCTAATTGAAGAACAATGGCCTCCAATTTTGATTTGGATGAAAATAAAATGTAAGAGACTTTTTTTTACTGTCTAATGTGTGTTATATGTGTAAATATCTATTGACAATATTCTAAGTAATGTATATTTTAAAAGGAATATGAAAATATACTTATGGCAAACGATCATCTCGACTGAAGATGAATCTAGAAGATATCATATGACACATTGATCACTAAACATCTTGAGATAATACTATATTTACCTACTGATTAATTATTTCAATGTTACCCTTTACTCAGGATCTACTCAAACTAATCGGCATGTTCCTCTTATCAAGTCAATGCTATATAATCAAAACTTTGATCCTTTTTTAAGAAGGTCGAATTCTTATTCCTTGATAAATTTGTCCTCTAGCGACCAATATGTGAATTTTTAGAGGTTTATTCTCTAAAGAATAACCTTAATGATTTATCTCTTAATTCAATAAATTCAAATTTGAGAGTCAACTAATAATAATACACAAGGTACAAAGATATAAGTTACATACAACACATTGGTACAAGTAGTGTGTAACAAGTTTTGTTGTGAGCACAAGGTTGAGTGAAATTACCTTGCTATATAGTACAACGAACATTTCAATGTCCACCTTCTGCAACTTTCTAATCAAAGGAGCTCTATATATTATCAAATTCTAGCAAAATTATATATAAGACTTCTTAGAACAACAAATATTTATGAGAACCGACTTTGAGAAACAAAGTAAAAGAAAATAACTTTCACGAACAAACATCTAGAAAAAAAATCTACCAATATATCACCCATACACTTCTTTCTAAGTAACCAAATCAAACATAATAACATTAACAGCCGACAAATTTACCAATATATCAACATTGTCAGCACACAATCATAATCTCTATTAATCAAGATTATCCTTATTAACAGCACATCATCCACTACTATTAATGCTAATCAGCCAAAAATCCTACTCACGTGTCATAAATTTTTTTATAAGTCAAACATCATAACCAACAAACCTCAGTTAGGCACAAACAATGAAACAAGTCAATTTTTTCATCACTTCTCCTTCCTTTTATAAAGCTACAATTGAATTTCAAAAGTCACACATTTCTCAGTTTCTTTCAACATTTCCTTCACTTACAATACATTGATTCATGATGTGTTTTCTTAAACTTACAATGTTTCTGTTCTTTTTTCTTGTCGTTGTTCATACTCATTCTAGAGTTCTTGTGAAAGAACATATTGATATTGGCCTTGTGAATGATAAGAATTCATTAGTTTCATTCATGTCATGCATTATTTCGGACCCAGAAAACACGCTAACGAGTTGGAAATCAAATGTTGTTCATGTTTGTGATTGGTCTGGTGTAAAATGCAACAATGCAAGTAATAATAGAAGGATTATAGAACTTGATCTAAGTGGAAGATCATTAACAGGAACTATATCCCCTTCTCTTGCTAACCTCTCTTTGTTGCAAATTCTCGACCTTTCTCGAAATCATTTGACGGGTCACATTCCAAGAGAATTAGGCTATTTACTTCATCTTCAAGAACCTAGTTTGTCTTGGAATTTTCTTCAACGAAACATTCCTTTAGAGTTTGGTTCATTACACAACATGTATTACCTTGACTTGGGAAGCAATCAACTTGAGGGAGAGATTCCTCCATCACTTTTATGTAATGGAACTTCATTGAGTTATATAGACTTATCTAATAATTCATTAGTGGGGAAAATTCCATTAAACAATGATAAGTGTGTGCTTAAAGAGCTTAAGTTCTTATTACTTTGGTCTAACAAACTTGTAGGACAAGTTCCTTTGGCTCTTTCAAACTCTACCAAGCTTAAGTGGCTTGATTTGGAATCAAACATGTTAAGTGGTGAACTTCCATCTAAGATTATTTGTAATTTTCCACAATTGCAATATCTCTACTTATCATATAACAATTTTGTTAGCCATGATGGTAACACTAACCTTGAACCTTTCTTTGCTTCCTTGATGAACTCGTCGAACTTTCAAGAACTTGAATTGGCCGGAAACGGTCTCGGCGGGAAGCTTCCTCGTATTATAGGTAATCTTCCTTCCGGCATGCAACATCTTCACCTACAAGAGAATCTCATACATGGCGCTATACCACCTCAAATTTCCAGCCTTGTCAATTTAACTTTGTTGAAGTTGTCTAGTAACCGAATAAATGGAACAATCCCTCAAAGCCTATGCAAGATTGTTAGGCTAGAGAGAATTTACCTGTCGAACAATTATCTATCTGGTGAAATTCCTTCAACTCTCGGCGACATCAAGCATCTTGGACTACTTGATTTGTCGAAAAACAGGCTTTCTGGTTCGATACCGGATAGTTTTTCCAAACTCCCTCAGTTAAGAAGGCTTTTACTTTACGACAACAAGCTTTCCGGAACAATTCCTCCAAGTCTAGGAAAATGTGTGAACTTGGAGATTCTAGACTTGTCTCATAACATGATCACAGGAAAGATTCCTTCAGAAGTTGCAGCATTGAGTAGCTTGAAACTATACTTGAATTTGTCGAACAACGAGTTACAGGGTCCTTTACCATTAGAGTTAACCAAAATGGATATGGTTCTAGCTATCGATGTATCCATGAATAATCTCTCCGGAAGAATTCCACCACAGATCAAAAACTGCGTAGCATTAGAATATCTTAATCTTTCTGGTAATTCCTTAGAGGGTCCTCTCCCTTATTCTGTAGGACAATTGCCTTATATTCAATCACTTGATGTATCTTCAAACCAATTGAATGGACCAATACCAGAGTCCCTTCAGCTCTGCTCCTATCTCAAAACACTTAACTTCTCTTTCAACAAATTCTCAGGAAATGTTTCAAACAAAGGAGCATTTTCGTCTTTAACCGCAGAATCTTTCCTAGGAAACTATAATCTCTGTGGTCCATTTAAAGGCATGAAACAATGTCATAGGAAAAACAGTTACCATTTGGTGTTGTTGTTAGTTCCTATGTTACTATTTGGCACACCTATGATATGCATGTGTAGAAACTCCATGATAATCAAGTCAAAAGTGAGAAAAAAACAGCGAGCCGTTAGTGACGGATGTGACGCGGAGGATGAAGAAAAAGATGAAACAAAAGAGCTCGGGTATCCAAGAATTTCTTATAGACAACTTCGAGAAGCTACCGGAGGGTTCAGTGGTTCAAGCCTCATCGGTTCAGGCCGGTTTGGACGGGTTTACAAAGGTGTACTCTTAGATAATACAAGAGTAGCAGTTAAGGTATTAGATACAACAACAACAACAAAAGACGATGAGATATCATGGAGCTTTAGAAGGGAATGCCGAATTCTTAAAAAGATAAGGCACAGAAATTTAATAAGGATCATTATGATTTGCAGCAAGAAGGAACTTAAGGCAATTGTTCTTCCATTGATGCCAAATGGTAGTCTTGAGAGGAACTTATATGATCCAAACAATGAATTAAGCAAGAAGTTGAGTGTGATTCAAATGATTAAGATTTGCAGTGATGTAGCTGAGGGAATGTGTTATCTGCACCATTGCTCTCCTGTGAAAGTAGTTCATTGTGACCTTAAGCCTAGTAATATACTACTAGATGATGATTTCACGGCTTTGGTGTCGGATTTTGGAATTTCAAGGCTTCTAAAAGGCGACAATGGCGTTAACTCCGCTTGTAACTCGATATCTTTTAGTTCAACACATGGCTTGTTATGTGGCTCTGTTGGCTATATAGCTCCTGGTATGTTCATAAGTTGTTTTCAGCTTATTTTTATAAACTCTTCAAAATAACTTATGAAAACTGTTTATAGCTTATATGAAAACATTTTGAATTTATTTTATCTTTTGCTAAAGAAATAGCTTATATATAAGCGTTTATGCTATAAACCTGGAAAAAAGATGATAAGAGCTTTTTGTTTTGACAAGACAGAATATGGAATGGGAAAACATGCTTCAACTGAGGGTGATGTTTACAGTTATGGAGTAACTCTGTTAGAAATAGTGACCGGAAGACGCCCTACCGATGTCCTCATCCACGAAGGCTCTAGCTTGCATGATTGGGTTAAGAGACAATACACACAGCCACACAAACTTGAAAGCATTGTTGAACAAGCACTTCAAAGATTCTCTCTTTCTTGTGTGTCAAGTCACCGCAACAAAATTTGGGAAGATGTTATGTTGGAACTCATTGAGCTAGGGCTACTCTGCACGCAGCAGAACCCTTCAACAAGACCGACGATGCTAGATGTAGCACAAGAGATGGGGAGGTTGAAGGATCACATCAATAATTTTTCACGGGAGACGAAAATTTGAAAATTTAATTCTTTCATATCGATGGTAACTGAATTAGGTATCAACACATATACATCGTCAATTTTGCATGACATTTTTAATCCACTATATCGAATCACACAAAAAAACTCAAATCACCCGTCAGTATAGTGTCTATTGTAAAATACGCAACTATATGAAATGGTATACACTCTTCAGGAACTAACATTTAGTTCATAAGATCTATTTTACCTTGCCTATACTGAATAAAATCCCTTTTGAGAACAAAGTATAATATGTACACCGAATAACGCTCTGAGTTGTTCGGTTGTTTGAGAATCTGAGACGGTCGTTTCTTTAGTAATTTGATCACATCCAAAAGTACAGCATTGCCTGTTCATACAAATTTGAAAAAATTTATTTCGCAGTTGAAGAAAAATGATTCAAGAAACAATAACTAACTTCAATAAGAAAAGAAAAGGCAAAAGCACGTTACCTCGGGAAGAAGAGTTCCTAAAGAAACATCCTCGTCCTTCTTAGGAGGGGCTCTTTTGGTTTTGTTACAGCTTCTCATCTCTAACTGTATTGAATTGAGTTGACTCTGAATATCCTTCAACAATCTCAAATGCTCTTCTCCATAGCCGTCACGCTTAATCTCTTCTTGCCTTGTACTAACTCTCTCCTTCTCGAGCCTATCGATTCTCTGATGCAACTTTTGAAACTCGGCTTCAGCATTGGAATCGACAACATTCTTCGTATCTTTCTGATTTGTTTTTTTAATTTCATGACGCGTGTTAAGCATCATACTCTTTAGCTTCTCCATATCGTGTTTAACATGCGATTCAATGATTTCCTCGGACACAGAGTCTGGTTTTATCAATCTGCAATCTACTTCTGAAATCCATTTCTCAAGTCTTCTTTTCCCATGTTCAATCTCTTCATGCTTTTCATTTGTTTGCGGAACTTCAAATACATCGTGTACGTTAACCGAATAAGAAGGACTAGCAACTGATTCTGTGTCGTGTGTTCCTTCGACGTGATTTTCTCTATCGGCATTAGGAGTAATAGATACTCTATATTTGTTGCTAGCTTGTGAAAATATCGAACACGATCTCCCTCTTCTACTCCTCAGGTTTGAAAATTTTTCGACTCCCGATTCTTTACAATCCGATATCCCATTCACTTTTTCATCTAACCTTTGGATTTGGTTCCAATATGAATCAAGCGTTCCGAATGTGAAGTCCATAGGTTTTCTCGTTGGCAAATCCATTTTCGGAGAAATGACATCTTGCTCCATGCCTTCAAGTGTATTAGGAATCATATCTGAAACTGGAAGTGGAGTCGGCGATCGATCTCTCTTTCGGCTAGCTCGCAAAGTATTCTTAGACGGAAGAGGCGGCAATGAACTAAGCCTTCTTATAGTACTACTCTGACCATTTTCTCCCGATTGATCATTTCGATTCAAGAGAAGATCTTCCGGAAACTCAAACTCACTAGCATTAAAATCAGCACCAAGTGTTAGAAGCTTATGCTTATAAGCATAAACCTGAAACTCAAGAGAAGCAATTTCCATTTCCTTCTGATACATAAGCTCTTCAAAAACCTCCAAAGTCGCCTCCGCGTGACCTATCTTCTCCTCCGACATTCTCTTATAATGACTCGCCTCCATCTTCACCGCAGCCTTTTCGCCTTGCAATCTTAGTATCATATCCATCGCTTCACTAGCCGCAGTCGCAGACGCCTCCCTTTCCTCATCCAATTCCGCATACAGCTTCTGCAGAAGCTGCTGCTGCGCACGAAGCGTCTCCTTCATCGCAGTTACATCACTCTCAGACATAATCGCTTCTTCTTTCCACCAACTTGAACACACAATATAATCACTTATTCCTGAACACACAAAACAAATAATTTTAAGCAAACCATATAACAACATAAAATCGATTTAGCATCACCAAATCTATAATCTCAACAAAAACCTAAGAGATTAATTACAAGCAAAACATGAAATCAATTACAAACAAAAAAGCTAAATTGTTACTAACCAACCTTCATGAATCCTATAACAAAAAAACTGTAAAATCGCCAAATTACAAGAAAATTGAATCGTAAACAAAATTAATCGATAGAGTAGGATAATATTAACGAAAAAGCAAAAAAGAAAAACGCGTTTGAAAAAAGTTGGTAAGTAGTTTTTAGCTTTTGAATAATTCACATAACAAAGCGACAAAGTACCTAGAAAGTAAAATCGCTTATGTAACAAGGAATGTAATGAAAACGAAATCTACGTTAACAGAATATGAATATAATTGAAAAAAAAAAAAAAGAATAAAATTTTATTACCTATATACGAAAGTGGTGTGTGTTTGTTAGAGAGAGTGAGTTTCCTTGTGAGTAGTTACGGAAAACGACAAAATCATGGTTTTTCTGTTATGATTGGAGTTGTTCATTGTTATGATTTTCATACTGAGAAGATGGTGTTTTGTTTGTGGGGTCCATGTGTTGTCTTGTTTCCCGCAAATGTTCCTTGCTAGTCGCTCTGTAACCGTGGAAGTGTAACCCTTTCTTTTCGATTTTTTTCTTATAATTATTTTTTGTAATCGAGAAAATCGTTTATTTGTTTGTTTTTTCTGAAATTGTGGTCGGTGAGATGAGAGACATGTTATTATATTTTCTGAAACGGTTATAAAATGAGGCCGACCTCATTATAAATATGTCATGTCATGTCAACTCTATCACGCGCATGCAATCAATCTTTCATACCGTTTCTTTGCTGGCTAAATTTTAATTTTCAAAAATTGATAAATAAATTTAAGTAAAGTCAAACAAAATAATAAAATAGACAGTTCACTAGTAAACCCACCATGAATATTTGATCCGATCTTTATCATAAGGAATAAGAGATAAGATTATTTTTGTAATTATGAAATCATAGTCATGAGGAATGTGAGAGGTAATATAAAAGACAATATGCATTTGATATGTTTATTATTTAAAAGTTCATGAGATTATTTTCGTTTTTAATTAATAAATATATTTTAAATTTTGATTTAAATTTTGATGTTTTATTTTCGTTGATCCACGTAACTAGTTTTCTTAATTTAAATTTTAATGGTGTTGATCTTTCTTATATATTTACACTTAAAATTTATGACATGTTTAATTTTAGATGATATTTTGAAATGCGTTAAATCATCGTATAAAAATTATGTAAAAATTTTAAAAAGTAAAAGATATAAATCATGTCATTAATTTTTAGTGAACAAAGATGAGAAATGATAAAAATGATTTGAATTTTAAATAATTCTATAATTGCAATATATTTATTGGTTAGATGATTTTCTTACACTTTTAAAGTATTTATCTTTTAATATTAGATGTATCTAATTTTTTTACAATTTTTTATTAAAAATATATGATATTTGATAAAATATTAAAAAAGTAATAGTAATTAATAAAAATAAAAATTTTTATTTTTATTTATTTATAGATAATGATTAATTTTTTAAAGACATTAATAATTGCATTTAAAGGTGGCAATGTTGAAATATAGATAATTAAGCTTATAGTTAATTAATATATAAGAGAAAACGTGTATTCATTTGTACAATTACTTCTTTGTTTGTATAATTCTTAATATTTTTAATACAATATATTTTCTCTCTCTACTCCTTCATTTGTACTATCTTAATATTTTCAGGATAATATTTCGCAAGATTATTTCTTCCTTTTCTTTGATATCATGAATACTAATATGGTATCAAGAGTTTCGTTTTAAATTTGATAGATTATCTATTATAATTTCTACTATCAGATCATTCACCATTAATTTTTATATTTCAGTTGTTTAGTTCTGGGCATGATTGAGTGTGTTAAGCGTTCTACATCAGACAATATATGACATGAACATGTGTTTATAAGTGGGAGGAATCCTCACCCTACAAACCAGTTTTGTAGGGTTGAGTTAGACTTCACTATATTTCTTAACACGTGCATCCTCATCCTACAAACAAGTTTTGTAGGTTTGAGTAAGGCTCAACCACATTTCTTAACATGAAATAACTTTAGGCATGATTTCGCTGCATTTTGTTGAGAAAATCGAATTCCAGTTAATATTCTCATCTTTCTATCCCGATATTCTTTTTCTTTTGTGTAGTTTATTTTCTCTTGCAATTGAAATTTTCTTTCAGTTGCTTTCAAGCTTCAATTTAGATATGATTCTTTTGATTTGGTTACGACCTTGTTCCATTTTCTTCTTCTGTTCTTTGATTATCATCATGTTTTCCCCAAAATCTTAGGGTTTCATTGTTCTTCGATCTAGTTTACTGACTTTGGAGCACAAATTTTATCTCTCTTTCTCTGCTTTGTGTTCTTGATTTCAGAATTTATTTTACACCAAAACTAATTTCTATAACTGATACAATGAATCTGAGTTGATTTACTCCAAGTATTTATTACAATTGGTGATTTTAGAATTCCGTTAATCATTTTTGGTTTGACGCGGGAAGCTTCAATCGAAAATCTTTATGTTCACTGACTACAATTGTCATAATTATAACAGATTCTTAATTGATTGTGGTTTGATCCATTTGTATGTTGAATTCTAGGCAGTCCAATTGAGGCATCTTCATAGTTGTGGCAAGTTGTGTTTGGTGAAGATTTTCATCTTTGTTTTTTTAGAATGCTGTAAACAATCGCTGATATCGTTGTCGACTTTTGCGTTTTGGATATACATTGATTCTCCATTTTGGATATTTTGGTGAGTCTAGATAATGCTCCCAAAGTGTTTATGAAAAATTTTCACCGAAGATAATTGAGGTCACTGTTTTTATACTGCGATATACTTTCACCCCTCTTCTCTTCCATTATGCCAAACAAGCGCATAGACAGCGACCTCAACTATGCTTCGAATTCAATGTTGTTTTCCTGATAGTTGATATTGATATTAGATGAAGAGGTTATTATGCTACAACTGTGAATATGAATGCATTTGATATTGTATGAATGCTTTGAATCAATGAATTGGTGTAGGCTTTGTCGAAAAATGAAATCATAATTACTTATAGATTTCTTTTACTTGGTGTTGTCTGTGGCTTATAGTGTATTGTCCTTGTCCATGCTAGAGCTAATTAGTACTTCACACTATTTTCTATTACTCCACTGAAAGTTATAGCTAGGATGTTTGTGTGTATTTCAACTCCATATTAGTGGTTTGATGCTTCCTTGTGCAAGACTAGTTTATGGGTTCTAGACTTATGTGATATGTTCTTGGCCCCGTTTCACATTTGCATCACAAAAGGATAAAAATCTCGCTATAGTTTTCAACTTAAGCCCAAATTATTGTTTAATGGATGAGCTTATAGATCGATTCAATTGATTTTGGATTATGAATCATCGACTTGTTATAACCATTAGTTTTCTTATTGAACAATAAGTTCGACTCATTTTTTTAGATTCATATCATGGACTTGTAGCAATATTCCTCTGCTTAAGCTGTATGATTACTTTGGAATTTAACTTTTGGTTGTGTTACTGTTTCTCTGCGAAATAATCGCTAGCCTCTTATTAAAGGTTACTTGCAGGATCGACTACAATAGTCCTAAACTTACTGTTTTGAGTGTTTTTGGGTTGAAACTGGTTGATATTGGATAAAAGAGGTAAAAGTAAAAGACAATTGCAAAGTAAAGAAAATAAATGACAAGACTTGTAATTTAAATGTGAAAACTGGAAATTGCTATGAATTTAAATGCGGAAGCATTCATACATTGTTATGCCTGAATTCGTTTCTCTCTTAGATGCAGATACTTTGAGTGTAATGCTCTAAATGTGACCCTTGACACGAATACAAACATTTGCTTAAATAGAAAATCTAAAAGTGTAACCGCTGACGGTTACTAGTCCCACGTTGGGGCTTTATGGAGAACTGCCATAAACCGCTTTGAACCTTCCCGCGTTCTTACTGGCTTGTATGTTGATAACCGTTCCCGCCACTATATATCATTGATCTCCGACCTCTATGCTTGTCGATGACTGCCTCTGAATCCCATGTCCTTGTCGACTAGCATTTCTGGTCAATACCCTTTAACTTGGTTGACACATCCTGTTGTTTCTTACAAACTCACGCCTTTTTAGTCAAAGAAATCTTACAGCTTAAAGGCTCATTTCCCTAGTCGAAAATTGCTTGTCAACAAATTTCTCCCCAAAACGCCATGTTCAAAGGAATTGTCGATGGGAGAAATTTGGTGTTTTCTCTTCCAAATTGTCAACTGCATGATGTCATGCGTAATCATGATTACTTTCTGTGCAATAGTTTTCCAAGTCACTTCAATCACTTCTCATGATTATTCCTAGGTTTTAGAGCATGGGTTTTTAAATAAATACCACTAACTTTTCTACTTCTTGGATTGCTCACGGTTGGATCACTGCCACCTGTCGATGATCGACGAGTCTAATCTTCTTTAAATAGCCTCTTTAGGCCAACATTACTTCTTTTCTCCTTCAATTTTCTTGCTCACAGACCCTTTCATTTTCTGCAAATTCTTACAAAAAAACTACACATTTCCTTACCATTTTGATTTTAATGGCTGCTTCTGGTTCTGCTCCCGTTTCTACTAGTATCAACCCAATGGCTTTTGCTCTTACAAACAACGCCACGCTGCCAGTTATTCCGCAACTAACATCCATTGATGCTTGCACCATTGAAATCTGGCTAAAACAAATTCTTATTCCATTCGTTGTTTCCGAGGAACTCCACACTTTTCATGACCCGTACCCAAACCCGAAAAATGATCCTAATAAATTTCAGGAAATCTTTCCATGTTATACTCCTGCGAAACCCCT